TAGGAGATTTAACACATCACTGATGCACAAATGCAAGTGATCAGAACAGAATTTCCATGGTGTGATCTAAAAATGGCAGCAACTGAAGGTCCACATGTGCACAAAGAAACTGCCTTTAAGTGGAGATAGAAGCAAATTTAAATAAAAACATCTTGCTCTAAACCAATAAATGCACAAACACATAACACGGTCTTTAGGTGTCGAACTTTCATTCATCTTTTTTTTTTTAATCGTTACATCACTGTCCCAGTGTGTACATAACATACAAGACCTTTATGTAATAAATGTCAGACTGCAAGGGTGAGTGAATTGGTGAAGGTGAAAAAGTGCAAGAGCTGAAGGAAAGGTGGGTGAGGAGGAGCGGATAGAGATGTGGGCAGACAGCCACAGCAGCGTGACTTGGTGCTATTGATCAGACAAGGTCAAACAGAGGGGAGAGCAGTTAGCTCATTGTTGATTAGCAGTGATAGGCTAACACCACAGCATCCCCTTGGCTGCCCTATTCTGTGTATTTACTGCTGCTCCTGCAGGGCAGCTAAAAGGAAAGACTGGGCTGATAGATGGCCAAAACTGTAGTGAAGAGCCAACAACTGTCTGCCAGAGGATTTATATGCCAATTAATGCTGTGAGATCATTGGCTTGTTATCGTTCATTGAAATTAAACAAAATAACGTTGAAGAAAGGGGTGAAATACCGATTCTGAATCGGTGGCTCGCGTTGCTTCTGTTCGCAATCTTTTTTTTTTTGTCTTTTTTTTTTTCATTCTTTTTTACCTCGTCTTCTTCCTCCCCCCCATTTCCTATCTAGTGCTGACTTTCCCCTCTCTCTTCTCTCTCCCGCCGTTGTTGTCATGCCAACTTCCCAGGAGACGGTGTTGTCATGGATACCGAGCGGCAGGGCAGATCAGCTGATGTCTGGTGTCATTCAGGCATGTGCACAAATCGGCCTCCTGTATGTGCGCTCGTTCCCTCCCTTCTTTGCAGTGAGCTCCCGCTCTCCTCATACCTCTCAACCAAACACAAACTAGAGCTGCAGTGTGACCACATATACTTTATTTACACACTCAGTTCAATAGTCTACATAGGGCTGTGTAGTGCGTGGTGTTTTTCTTGACCAGTTGTCTCCAATAACTCAAAAGCATTGAACACAAGAAGTGCCAGCTTATGCACTCCCAAGATCAGGATATGATGAAAAATAAATTGTAATAATACTGTAAATTTGTGCATCTGCAGCTTGAATGCCCTTGCATTTTTGCAACATGGATGGCTATGGAGCTTAAGTTATTATATTCATTTAATCACAGAGCACCCACCCTTTCCATCGTAATTGGGCTTCTGGGATGTGTTATATAACCAATTATTTGATCCCCAAAGAATAAACTGGGAAAACCTGCTGTTCACATTTTGTCCTCTTGACATCCGTGGTCCATATAGATAAATATATATATATATATATATATATATATATATATATCTCAAGTTTTCAGAAAATTTTTGGAAGATAATAAATCTAGGAAGGTGTTCATATTTACTTTTAATTGATTAACTATTGAAACATCTATAACATGAAGTGTAAGAGTGAAGGTTCCACTCACAGTTTCACATTTCTTGCAATATTCCATATCCTAAAGATAATCGGTTATTATTAACAAACAAGACAACAAAGAGGAGAACATGAAATGTGATGAATCCCAGTTATTTCATAATATCTTTAAAAAGGCTCAAAAGTTGTACAGTCGTGTAGTCTACATAACAACTGCACTGAAAATCCTACAGTGTAATCGTCAATGCAGATCCAGAGCGTGTAGCGCCCAAATTGGAGGGCAGGACTAAAATATGTCCACATCTCCAAGTTTTGTTAAATATGTAACGGGATGACAGACGAGTCATTGAGCAGGTGGCGGGGCAGATGAATGGCTCTAACAGATTCCATATTCTGGTTAAACTGATTTGGGGGAATCAAGACAGAGAAAAAAATGAGACAAGGAAGCGAATCTGAATGTATCATTACCCAACTCATTAGAACACCGACTGTCGTTCCAATCAATTAAGCCTTTAATATAAATGTAAATGTAATCGGCTCTTTGTAATTAACTGTGGGTGGATTGCTATACAGAGAGGCATGGCTTTAGGCTTTAATTCACGGTGATTACGTGAAGTGTTTGTTTCTGAAATCACGGGCATCATGTTGAGGCTAAATAAGCTAGCTGGTTGATTTGCCGCCGGTCAAAACCTGTCTCTGCTTGTCTGCCTGTGATGGGGAGTTTGTCTCGGCATTGCTCTCTGGTGATGGTTATTAGTGACTGGCTGCCCTCTGGCTATTTCCTCAACATTCACTGCCTTCAGTTCAACTTGGAAAGACAAAGAAAAATGGCTAAAACCTAGGGGAGATGACAAAGGAGACAAAGGAAAGCGAGGCTAAATAGAGGGTGGATATAGGATAAAGGGAAAAGTAATGGGAAGTTAATGAGAAATGAAGCTCAGGTCTTCTTTTTTCTCCTGAAAAGTGTTTGTCTGTAAATATATTGGATTCTTCCTGCAGCTTTGTAGACCTGTGAAGCAGACAATCCAGCTGAAAAACAGAGTCTCCTTTTAACCCAGCTGCTTTAGTTCGGGGGGCTCTAATTGGAAAAATTAGACTGGCCCTTTGGGAGGCTAATCTATAAAGCATTACTCTAGATGCTGATGACGTTCTCCACCAGAAGAAATCCCGTACACCAGTTGACACCAGAGACGGATACTGACTGATATTTGTCCGAGTAATTCATCACATCTTGTCGATAAATCACCAATTTGCCTTAGTGTAATAGTAATGATCTTTTCTTATTTATTCTGAGAAAATTCAAAAAGGGGTTTTTCATGATTCAGAGTATTTCTTTTCTTTTCTTCCATATACCATATACCCTGTATATGCATCCTTTTCGGGGACACATAAAAACAGGAACAAGCAGCAATATTTTGTACAATCCTATCATAAATGAAAAGTAAGGGGGGAAAGTATGTTTAGCCTACACAATTTCTGCTAGAAGATCGAGCGGCTAATAGTTTCCTTTGAAATGAAGAAAACACAATGTTTAAAGAACAAAAGTACATGCCCAGCCTTGTCCCACTGTTGAAATTAACAGGATAAAGACGTGCATATTGGAAAAAGACAAGACTAACGGAAGAAGATCATTAACATATACTGGCCTCTTCCTCAGACAGTTTGCTTCATATTGATATGATGGCATCACACAGTTTCTGCAGATTTGTTGGCGAAACATCCACCATGCGAATCTCCCATTCAAACACTCTCTGGGACTAAGATCTGGTGACTGATGGGCAGATTTGAGTGGGTTAAACTTGCTGTTCAAGAAACCAGTTTTAGATCATGGATGGAAGCGGCCATCAAAGTAGGGCTGCAACAAACAATTATTTTGATAGTCGACTAGTCACTGATTATTTTTGCGATTAGTCGACTAATCATTTCAAGCATCCATTGGACATAAAATGTACAGCTTATTGCACCTGCAGCATCTGCTCTTATATAACTATCATTAGCATACAGCTTTAAGTGTTTAAGGTATGTGCTAACTAAAAATAAAGGCAAGATGATAGTTTATTAAATTTTAATGAAATTTGCAGATTGTTTTGGTGAAGTTTAATAAACTCAGCCGTCTGCACCTTGCTATCTAAAATATAACAGCCAAACAATAACATTTTTAAGTTATCTAAGTGACTTATATATCATGTTTAACCTGAGTAGCGAAAGACGGCGGTGGGTTTGAAAACGATTTGCCGGGAGTCCGTGTTCTCACGGGCTCTAGCGAGCCTTAAACCCCGCTTAGCTATCGAGCTGGTGGGTAACAGACGTCTCCGAAAACGTCGGAGCGCTTTTGAAAATATGTGGTGTCTTGATAAACTGAGCAGATATTTGAAGTTTACACAGCTACATTCTCGCCTGAAAATATGTTAAACGTTTATTTTGTGACCCAGAAAGAATAATAAGAGTAATATTAAAACTAACTAGCTGCCGCCATTGTTGGAAACTGAGCAGGGCCGCGCTATGAATTCTGGGACACAGCTTCTTCTTCTTCAGGGTTTAACGGCAGCTGGCATCCTTGTACATGCAGTGCTGCCATCTTCTGTTTCAGTCCGTTATTACACTCTTAAATCCTACTACTTATTCCTGCGTCTTTGGGGATCTTACAAAGCTTCAAACGACGCGTCGACTATTAAATTAGTCGTCGACGATTTTGATAATCGATGTAATCGTGACTAGTCGACTAATCGTGGCAGCCCTACATCAAAGGATGGGTACACAGTGGTCATAACACAATAGATATGGTCGTTAACAATACTCAGACTGTGGCGTTTAATTAATGCTAAGGGGCACAAAATGTGCCGAGGAAATATCCCCCACACCATTACACCTCCACCACCAGCCTGAACTGTTGATAAAAGGGAAGATATTTTCAGTTTCTTACACAAAATGAGGCAGAAATTGAGACCTTTCGTTCTGCCTTTCTGTCAGCTCAAAGCAGTCCAGCCATTTTTTTCTGGCATCAGTAGGACATTTTCTCTGTAAACCCTGGAGATGGTTGTGTGGGAAAATCCCTGCCCATCTGGCATCAACGATCATGATAAAACACCTTTCTTTCCATTCTGATGATCACTTTGAACTTCAACAGGTCATCCTGAAATGCCTAAACACATTCAGCTGCTGCTGTGTGATTGGCTGACTACATTAATGTGTTATGAGCCATTAAACAGGTGTACCTAGTAAAGTGGCAGGTGAGTGTAAGTAATTATTGTACTGACCAGTCCAAATCCTTCAGCTCTCTTCACTTTACTTCTTGGTGAAGCAAGCTGTGGTGAAACCAAATTACTCCACTGATTTTCACAACTGTAACACTGTAACAGTGCAGAGTGTTTGTTTGTGTATTTCTCTGTCTGTTTTATGTACATGTTTATCTGTGTTTAACTGCGTGTGTCCTTTCTCTCTCTATTTGTGTATCTCAGGTGACAGGGCTGAGCGTGTCCCCCGGGAAGGACCAGCTGGTTGTGTTCCACACCAAGGACAGCAGGGATCTCGTGGTGTGCCTGCAGGGTATGGTGCCTGCCAATGAGAGCCGCATCGGGGAGCTAGTTGGCACCCTGCTTAGCCATTTCAAGAGGTAAGCAGTGAGGGAAACAAGTAGTAGTCAGAGGAAGGGCAACAGGCACTGGTGAAAGCAGAGTCACCTGTTTATGTGCCTAAATATGATATGTTAAAATGTCCCGAAAAATGTTAGCTGTTCTGATTTAAAGACTTGTGGGTGACACGAGGTGAAGGTAGCTCATTTCTTCTATTTACTGTGTAGAGAAAACTGCTTCCAGTTAATAATCAGCATATTGTCCCCACTTAAACCTTGTGCGGCTCTCATTTGAGGTAATTTCCCGCATAGCTGCAGGAGCAACGTGCTTCCTAAATTGAGAAAATAATAAAATTGGCTCAATTGAATTTCTAGAACATTATGTCAAATCCAGTCACACTGGCTCATATGTGTGGTACTGGCTGATGTGACCTGTGGTTGCAGGATTATGAGGCAGTTAGACGACGCAGCAGCAGCTGTCCCCACTTAAACCCTAATGTTCACTTAATAAGGACTCAGAGCACGCTTCAGGACAGGATATTAATTCGTACATCATTTGTTGTTTTCCTGTTCAGCTGAGAAAGGCAGATGGATAATTGGGATAAAATGTTTGTTAATTCTTTCTAAAGCTATTGTTTCGTTTCTACGTGGTTTTGTGTCCGCTTTAGGTCAAAAATGTGAAATGAACAAAAGTCAGTATGGATGCGCCAATCAGATGTTTTGATAGGACATCAGGCTAATCGTGATTAAAAAGCTGGATTGGTTCTTGCTGACAGCTGTCCAGTCTGTTCAGTTTAATTCTCGGTTGGTCTCTGTTCACTACGCCACGCGTCAGCATCATTGCATTGCTGAGGGAAAGATGTAACGTACGTAACATGGAGGAATCTTATCAGTTATGAGATATTTCACTTTTTTTGTAAATCTTCAGTTTTTTAACTTAACTGCAATCTCTGATCCAGTGAGCTGACATTACTGAGGAAGAACTACGCTATTTTAGATTTATGTCGCCATTTCAATGTTATTTCGCTTCACCTGTCTCTTGTATGCAAGGATGTTCATTCACAGTGAGACTGGGAGCAGGGAAAAGACAAACGCAGTAAAGATCGACACACTAATGTGAAATGAAACTACTGTGCAAATGCAAACCCTGTTCTGAAAAAGTTGGGTTCTTTAAAATGGAAATAAAAATAGAATGCTCATCTAATAAATCAACTTTTATTCACATCAGAGGACATAGAAAACATATCAAATGTTTAAAATGAAGAAAAATATTGACTCATTTCAAATTTGATGACAGCAGCGTGGGAGAGGACCGAGTTTATCACTGTAGTATCTTCTCTTCTTTAATAACAACCTGTAAACATCTGGGAACTGAGGGGACCAGCTGAAGGATTTTTGGAGAGGATTGTGGACTGCAGACAGGGCAGTTAAGCACCCACACTCTTCTACTGTGAAGCCATGCTGCTGTAATAGATGCAGTATGTAGTTTGCTTAAATGCAGGCTTTGCTTAAATATGCAAAGCCTTTCCTGAACAAGTCATCGTCAGGATGGGAGCACACGTTCCTTTAAAACCTGTAGATAATGTACCCCCATACCATCAGACATGTTGGCTTTTTAGTAAACTTTGATAGAAACCTGCTCCTCTTTAATCCAAAGGTTGCATGTCCATGTTTTTGAAAAAGACTTTTGGCCCAGAGAAGATGTGTTTTTGGATCGTGTTCACTTATTGCTTCTACTTCTTTAATACAGCTTTAACCTGCATTTTTGGTTGATTCTCTGAACTGTGAGTTCTGGAAGTGTTCCTGAGCCCACGCAGTGGTTTTTCTTTGAATACCCATGCATATTTTTAATGCAGTGCCACCTGAGGGCCGAAAGATCTCAGGCATCAGAGATCTTCAGGCCCTTTCAAACTAAAAATCTAAAGCTTTTGAAGATATTGTGTACTGTAGATAAAATCTGGGCCAAATTAAATATGTGGATCTATCCACTGTGGGGACCCCTTGCAAATAATCGAGCAGCCGAATGAGGTTATAAAAATTTCTTTAGTTCAGTAAATCTATATTTATTTGTTACAATTTTTTGATAAAGTTACACAAAACGATTTCCCATCTGTTCTTCACAGTGAGAAATATACTGTAGCTTGTTTTAGAAGCAGGCATCCAGTTAAGTCTGGGCATCTTTATTATTCAATCTTTTCAATTTGTGTCACCAGAAAGAAAGTTTTTTTTTTTTTTTACCTTCTAAACTTAAAACAAATATAGTGGAGAAATTCCATGTATCCATCTTCTTCTGCTTATTCAGTTCAGGGTTGTGGGAGTTGGGAAAAATTGTGTATTTAAATTCAGTTGACTGGTAATCATAGATTTTTATTTGTTTTTTCAGCTCAATAGTGTCACCAAAGTCTACAGCTGTGGACATCAGACATGCAGGTGATCGGTCCATCTTTTATTGACGGCATAAAAAAGTTTAACTTCGCTGTGTGAAACGTGGTGTGGATCAGAAAATGGACAAAAACAGTCAGAGTGTGTCTAAACGTGCAGTTCTTCTATAATTGCTGTTTTGTGCTCCACCTGCAGTATTACGTATTGAAGTTAGGGAAAATTTCATCATGTCTTCAAATATAAATAAAACATTTTATCCACATCCAGTCGTCAGTCCAACAACTGGCGTATTTATTGAGGGGAGGTGTGTGAACAGTCCTCTTTCATCCAAGCAGCACACACTCGCTGGTTATGGAAAAGATTACAAAGTCATCTATATGGGATTATTTTTTAAACGGACAAAACCAGCTGCCCAGGGACTTGGCTGCAGCATTCAGATAAAAGATGCATCAAGCAAAGAAAACCACTAAGGAGATTGCTAAAACGGCCTCTTCTTCTATATCTTCTTTTGCTTCTTTTGGCTTCTCCCTTTAGGGGTTACCACAATGGATCATCTGCCTCCATCTCTTCCTACCCTAGCAACCTCTTCTGTCAGACCAGCCCTCTGCATGTCCTCTTTCACTTCATCTATCCTTCTCTGTTATCTTCCTCTTTTCCTCCTGCCTGGCAGCTCCATCTCCAACATCCTTTGTCCAGTCTAGTCACTATTCCTCCTCTGTACGTGTCCAAACCTCAGCCACCAGCCTTGCCCCTCTAACTTTGTCTCTAAACTGCTCAACCTGAGCTGTCCCTCTGCTATACTCATTAATAATCTTGTCCATTCTGGTCTGAACAAAACTCTTAGCCTCTTCACCTCTGCCACCTCCAGCTCCACCTCCTGTCTTTTTGTCAGTACTATAGTTTCCAAACCATACATCATAGCGGGTCTCACTATCATCTTGTGATGTTACACATCACCCCTGATGCTCGTCTCATACTACAATACATACTGTCTTAACCCGGCTTCTACAACTCCCTATAAGCTTTTTCCTCTGCCTTTGCAACCTCTCTGTCTGCTGTATGCTTTGCTTCCCAGTGCTCCTTCTATTTACCTAGAAAACAGAAGCTTTTTTTCTTCTTCTTGTGTTTGCTAGTGCGCACAAAGATTGGACACTGAAGCACTGGCTAAAGGTCATGTGGTCTGAGTCTAGATTTCAATTATTCCACAGTGGTGCAGAAAAGAGGTACATGAAGTTTATCAGTCATCCACGTCATCGTAGTTTAAGGATTTTGGAAAGAAAAGGATCTGGACTTCTTTAAATCGGATGGTAAGGTGGGGCTAGGCTTCACAGTGGGTTCACCTGAAACCTTGGCTGATTGTAACCCACACCCGTTTTCACACCTTGGCTCGTGTGACTAGGTAGAGGATCCATAGGGGGTCCATTACTCTCTTGGGGACACCCGCATAGGGCTTAAAATCTGTGACTCTCCACCAGTTGCTCTTAGAATTGATGAAGCTTCTCGGATAAGAGGTGAAACGTCTTCAAAGAAACTTAAAGAAGTCCAGACGCTTTTCTTTCCAAGCTCCTTAGACCACATGAAGTGATGCACCCATCGTGTCTAGTGTGGGTGCTGATCTGATCTGCTCAAGATTCAGTTGGGACACAACAAGATTCAGCAATGTTGTGTCCCCAAAACTGTGGTCAGCAGACTACCCGAATATACGTAATGAGCTGGAAACGACATGGAAATATTCCAGGATTCAGTGAAAGCGTGTTGAGTGTGAGAAATAATCTTGACGCTCGCCGCAAACCTCAACTTCAATCAGCGTCGGTGGGATGTGTGCCGCTTTATGCAGCGGTTTGACTTTCCCAACATCGATACAAGATCTCAGTGAAAAATGAATCCAACTCTGGATGGAAATCAATATGGTGACATGAGCTTGGCATAAGCTTATTGAAACAATGTATGTGTGCCATCATCAGCACTAAAGAGGGTCGAGTGAACTATTACAGTGTTTTTTTTTAATTTTTTTGTTTTTTAGTTGCTTGGCAGTGTGTTTAGTATTTTCACATGAGTTGAACTTTGCGTTTTCATGGTAGAAGAAGATGTCAATGTCTAAGCTATGCAAATCCAAAATAAATGACTCAGTCTTAAAATAAACTCAGTAAGCTGCTAAATGACTGCTTAAGATCAAACCAGTGACACAATGTAGTTTGTTGATAGCTGACCTTTTCGTTAATTTGATGTACCCATACATTAATGTTTTGATAAGGCGTGTTTTTAAGTCACTGACACTGATTATTATTATTCCTGACCCGTCTACAGTATAGTCTGCTACATGCATTGAGTTCTCTGTTCATGTTTGTGTCTCATTGTGTCTGTGGTTGTAAGAGAGAGACAGGGCGGTGCATATAGTATTGCTTGCAGACAGATGTGCCTGCATCTGCTCATCTTGGTGTTTAATGTGTTTGCAGCGTTGCCTGTGTGTGCGTCCTTCATCATTGCCGTTTGATGGTGTTACCTTGTTCCATTGTGGAGCCCATTTCCCCGTAGGTGTCGGGCTGTTAAGAACCTCCAGTGGGCCTCGCGTAATGACCCTGTATGTGCTTCACATTCAGGCTCATCCATCATTGTGAAACAGTGACAGAACAAAGGGAACACCAGCATGTGCAAATAAT